CCGCCACCGTTTGCCGTCACCGCCGATCTGCTGCTCCGAGTCATCACTGTCGTTCCTGAGTCTTATCGTGGGTAAGCTATTCATGTTTCTCTCACCACCTTTGTCGTTCAGTTTTTCCTGAGAGCTCAGACTTATTGATCCGCCATTGTTGTAGTTGCTTAATCCCAAGCTTCATCTTCTCCATCCGTTTGTTCCGGTGTTGCTGTGTCATCGTCCTTTCATTCTTGTGGTAGGAGATCCAAGTTCATTCATCAAGTGTGAGTCAGTTGCTTTAGTCTGAGAATTTAACGTATCGCAAATGGTCGTTTTTTGTGTTGCTTCAGCCGCAAGTTTCACCTTCTCCGTTGGTGGTTGTCACGTTGGCCGGCGTTTGTTATTTTAGTGGTAAGCAAGACTCCTTCCGTTGTTGTTCATGTCATCTGTTTTCCGAGAGTTATGTGAACGTAAAGTGTGTGTTGTTCTTTGATTGCTTCAGCCTCAAGTAAGCTTTTTTGAGTTGTGATCGTGTTGCTCTGTGTCTGTTTCACTTCCATTCATCCGAAAAGCAAAGGTGAGGGCGGAATCCGTGGATTCTTAAAGCTTCTAGTTAATTAGTATTCGTAAATGATAGGTTTAGGGAATTATTTGTTGATTGTGGTGATTGAAAAAATAATGTTAAGTGATTGTTATAAGTTTAGATGATGAAATGTTAAGTTGATATGATGTTTGATGGAGAGTATATATTATATTTTGGCGAAGTCGGTGCGAGAACGAGAACATGGCGATCCCGTTTAAGTCTGTACTTCAGTGCAATCGGACTGAGAATGAGGACATGGCGATCCTATTAAAGCCCGTTAACTGGCTGACGTGCCAAACAATGGTGGAAGACCTTTCGAGGTGTCCGACCAGCCCAATGTCATGATAATTTATATTGAGTTATTGGTGGCGGAAGACCTTTCGAAGTGTCCAACAGCCGGGTTGTCATGTGAATTGTGTTGAATCATGACGTGATTAGTATAATTATTGATTAGCCGTGACTGGAAGTTCTTGTTGATTGCTGTTTGCTTTAGAGTTAGTATTTGTGTGTGCTGTTAAATAGTGGTGTTCGGGAATTATGTGGACGGACATTACCAACCTCACTGAGTAATTTGTTACTCACCCCCTTTTTCTCCTTTTCAGGTGAAGAAGTGGTTGATGACTAAAGTTCAAGGCAATTGTTCAGGTGCTAGATTTTGAAGATTATTTTATACTTAGTCCGGAGTTTCGTTTCAGATAAATTTGATTTTTATTTATATTTATTTTAAGTAGAACAGAATCAACACAACAATAATCTATAAATCTCTCCAGGTAATGACAAACTTTTTTCAGATTTTCTAATATCACATCTCAGCAAAATTAATAAATCAATCAAAATATTTTAATTAATACAGATCAGCTTTTATTTTTACAGATCAGCTTTGATTAAAATATTAGCTTTTTGATTAGAGATCCTTCAAATGTCTCAGATCCACCGCTTGGCATATCGTGACGAGGAACGTCGTGGACATTAGCTTGAGAATCTCAACGACTTCGGAGGTTTTACGAGACGAGATTAGTCCGAGAGAGTTCACGTCTTGGTTGTGTTGTTCAGCTGATAGAACATGGCTTGTAACTGGATTCACTAAGTATTGAAGCTCCGAGCAGTAAGAAGCCATGGCGATCTCTGCTCCTTTGAATCTGTAATCCAAGCTTGGGTTGTTTGAAGCTGTTAGATTCGAAGGAAGACCATTGTTGTAGAAATCGTTAACAAGCTCCGAGATTTGAGCGAACATGAGCTTCCCAATCGCTGCGATCGCCAGACGCATGTTGTCCATCGAAACTCCGATTGGAGTCCCCTGGAAGTTTCCGCCGTGAATTGCGTTGTTCCGGAAGACGTCGATCAACGGATTGTCGTTCACGGAGTTGATTTCACGCCCGATCGATTTCGTCGCCTGACGGATTACTTCGAAGGGCCGAGCCATTGTGGAGAAGTACAGAGTGGATCCATCTCGTGAAGCTTTTGAGCCAATTTCATGTAAGAGCTTCCGTCGAGGACATGCTCCATTATCGCCGCCGATTCGATTTGCCCTGGGTGGTGCTTCAATCTGTGAGTCAAATGATCGGTGAACTCAGGTTTCCCGCTCATAACTTCCGCGAAAATCGCTGATAAAACCTCCGCCAAAACCGATTGAACATTCGCTTCGAATAGAACCATCGAAGCCATTCCAGATCCAACCGCCGTGCCGGTGATGAGTGCTAACCCTTCCTTGGGCTGCAGATCGAAAAATTCAGAATTGATTCCAGTTTTCTTAAAGGTTTCTTCCGCCGTTAGAGATTCACCGTCGGGAATTAGGACGGCCGGTGAGGAGGCCAGCGATGTAGGAGAGAGGAACGAGATCGCCGGAGGCAGTTACGGTTCCACGGAGGGGGAGATGAGTGATGTTGTGATTGAGGAGACTGGTGATTGCTTCGAGGATTGCGAATCGGATGCCGGAGAATCCTTGGAGGAGAGTGTTGACTCGGACGAGCATGGCAGCTCTCGTGGTGGATTGCAGCAGCGTGTGGCATTCTTTCATGCTCCCGAATATTCCGGCATTTGCAAATCTGAAACGAAATAAACATGCAGGATTAAAATTTAAACTAACTGCTTGAATGTGTATTTCAAATTATTAATAATTTTTTAAAGAAAACTAAATATCAGTACATTTGCGTTTAAAGAGTAGTTTTTAGTAGTATTTAGGACATTTCAAATTAATAATTATCTCATGTTCTCATTTTCCTTTTAATAGCGTGGGTATTCGCAGCAAAACATCTAATACAAATATTTTTATAAAAAAACTTATATTTACACAAAAAGTTTAAATGATATGTCATTAATTAATGTTAAGATGGTTTTACTATTAAGCTTTAAAACTTTAAAGTTCGAAACATTATTTTAAATATTAATCTTATATCTACGTGTTCACAAAGTCTCTAATTAATAAGTGGTAGATCATTAAATACTTTGAACATGTTTTGGAGAAAAATAACTAGATGGGTGAGTGATTATTTTTTAAATTAGAAAATATGAAATTATGATGAAATTAAATAGGGTATCATTTAGTGAATTTTTATATCAATTTAGAGGGATGTCAGTTTAAAATAGTAAAGTTAATACCGTGAATAATGCTTTTGGTGAGAGAAAAAATCGAATAGGTGCAGTGATTACTAAAATTGAAGAATTGTACATAAACATGTTCCACCGTATGAGTTGCTTTACATCCATCTCTGATAAAAATTAGATAAACAGTGACTATGATATAAAATGTAACTAAAACATATTTTCATATATAGATTTGTATATTTTTAAAAATATGCATATAATATTTATTTTAATATATTTTATTTTATCAAAGTATAGCATTAAATTAATAAAAAAATAATTAAGAAATAACCTGTAGCGTAGTACGGATATAAACCTAGTTTTTAGTTAAAACGGTTTATGCCGGTTCGTTTTAGATGTTTGGTATAAATAATAAAAAAACAGATTTCAAATATTATTATATATAATTTATTTTTTTATTTTTAATTTTTTTAAAGTACGGTTATCACAGTTTTCAATGAATAAATAATACTAGAAATATTCAAATCTCAACCCTATCTCAAAGTAAAGTCTCCGTTCCGAGTGCTAAAAATTCGGTCAAGCGGCACAAAGTATGAATAAGAGTTAAATGTCTTTAGCGAGAGGAGAGCAAATCCTGTGAACAATGAAAAGCTAAAAATGTCACGTTATTTAAACCATCAATCTTCCTCCTCACACTGTCACACACATGAATTCTGCATAGAACATTTAATAACCCCGTGGGCCACAAATTAAACAACCGGTTATTAATATAAACTATTCTAGTTAATGAATAAAAGGCCAACATGTGTCAACGAAACAAATCATTGGTAGTGTTACGTCTTTTTCTTTGTTAAACTAGGAAACTAAATGGCTAATGAAAACGGAACCCAAATGTATATTTGATACAAATGCCACTTTCTGATTCTGAATAATCCGGTTTTTTTTTTAAATCAAGTATCGTTATAATGAATATGTTATCACAAATCAATGGATAGTACTAATGAACAACTAATAAATCAAGTCATAAAAATCCTAATAACTTTTGGTGGGTAATGATTTTACAAAAACGCAGGAGCGAGTAAAACAATTTTTCATAACAAAAACAATGAAATAAAAGAAGAAGAAAAAACGTAACATACAAGATTCAATCTCGTGCAACGAAAATCACAACATAAATAGAAGGCGTGAAGGTAAGAGATGCATGCTTGACCCCTTCTCTTGTGCCATTATAAATCATAAGATATCGACGTTATGCTCTAAGGCAGGTGTGTTATTATTACACTCAATGTACTCACTCACATAACTTCGTTTATAAATATTTATATATATAAAAAAAAATTGTTGCTGATCCTTCAAGGGAAGAAGAACTTGAATTTTAAATATAGGATGCCAAAGTTTAATGATGGTTCCTACTTATCATTCTTCTACTTCTTAATGATACCTTAATTAAAAAAGTATATGACGCTAACAACTAATGGTAGTAATTAAGTATCTTATGGGGACCATATCGACTCATATTTTCTAATTAGTAATTTAGGTAAAAGCATAAACCCAGCCTTTTGGTGGTCAAAACCAAGATTGAGTTAACAAAACCTCGTGACCTTTTGGGCTTTAGAAAAAGAAAATCACCAAAGTTGTAGGACCATATAGAAACAGAAAAAAGGAGAAAAAAATGTTGAGAAAAGGTAGAGAAATCATATTGTTCCCTAATGTAAATGTTTTCACCACACAAAACTAATCCCAAGCAACAACCACATTCATTTCACAATCACCTTATAAATACCAAACCTTATAACAAAGTCTTAACAAACACACTACACTTAGCCCCACCTGCTCAACAAACTTATTAGCCTTCTACATTTTCAACAAACAAACTGAAGCAGAGTGTGGGAGAGAGAAAATGAACTCCAAAACTTTCCTCATCTTCTTCTTATCTTCTCTTATGATCATCACAAACATCGTCTTAGCGCAAGACCGAGCTCCTCACGGTTTGGCTTATGAGACCCCCGTGGCGTTTTCACCTTCTGCTTTTGACTTCTTTCACGCGCAACCAAAAAATCTGGATACCACTTTAGACCCTTGCGCTGAGTCGAACTGCTCACCTCTCCCTGTGGCTGCAAAGGTTCAAGGAGCTTCTGCAAAAGCACAGCAAAGCGAGATAGCAACAATGTCGATTGGTTCGAGAAGCAGAGTAGGAGCTGGTTGTGTCGTTGGGATCATCTTTGGGCTTGTGTTTGCTGTGCTGATGTGAACCATAATAGAGCATATAGGCATATAGCTAGACTTTGAGTATGTGTGTGTGTGTTTTTTTTCTTCAGTTTTTCTTGAAGTTTGTATCTTAATTTCCTTATGCAGTGTGGTTAATAGCAGAGTTTATCGCTGGACTCGGTCTAGAACATAAACAAAGAAAATCATATTTAATCAAAATTTAGCATTAATAACAACCCTAATAAAAACATATGAAAATTCCCCCCACCCACCCCCCCCACAACCAAAAAAAAAAAGATACATTCGAAAAAACACATTTTTTTAGTTTTAAAATAAGAGTCACAGCGATCAAGTTCAAACGTACAAATAAATGTGCTGATATATTAGCTATGAGTCCTGTTTCCTCACCATTACAATGGTATTTACATCATACATATGTCCTAGTTTCCTTGAATTTGCTGTAAATAACAAGTGCGACAATACCTTTTAGATGGCAAAATAAAAGAAAAAATAAATAAATACGGAAACGTTGGAGCGGCGGCCTATTCACCGTGTGAATATCATATCATATGAAAACATTATAAAAAAAAAAACAGAATTATTCTAGTTTAAAACATACTCATACCATATATCTAACAAACTTTAACGGTTGGTAAAGTCAGCATCTTCACCATTAAGCCAAACGACAAAACACTTTGTCACAGTTCTAGTAGACACAACAAATGTCTCTCCGTTCAAGAAACTACTTGATAAACAGTAACAGTACCAGTCGAAGACGCCCTTAGGCCTAACGCAGGCCCAATAATAACAGTAACGTGAAGGTGAAGAGTGTGACACGTGAGCTGATGTGTGCTCACACGTGCAAGCTCCCCATTCAGCCGCCCGTCACGTGTCCTTATTCCAACCTCCACCGCTCCCGCTTTTAAGGTAATGGTTTCTTCTACCCGAAGCCATTGCTCAGTAAAACCTAATGGAGAAGGAGAAGGAGAAGGAGAAGAAAGGCAACGAATCAATGGAGTTGGAGAAGAAGAAGAAATGCGATGAAGAATCGAGGGCACCATTAATGGCGTTGAACCATGTATCAAGGCTATGCAGAGACGTTAACAAGTCTCTAGAGTTCTACACCAAAGTGTTAGGGTTCGTGGAGACAGAGCGACCCGCGTCGCTAGACTTCGACGGCGCGTGGCTATTCAACTACGGTGTCGGGATCCATCTGGTTCAGGTCAAAGACGAAGACAAGTTACCTTCTAACACGGACCATTTGGATCCGATGGATAATCACATCTCTTTCCAGTGTGAAGACATGGAAGCTTTGGAGAAGAGGCTTAAGGAAGTGAATGTGAAGTACATCAAGAGGACTGTCGGTGACGAGAAAGACGCAGCTATTGACCAGCTCTTCTTTAATGATCCTGATGGTTTCATGGTCGAGATTTGTAACTGCGAGAATCTCGAGCTTAAACCGCGTGATCCCTCTGATGCTATACATCTCCCCCGAGATCGTCACGCTCCTCCCGTTGCTCTCCCTGGAAGAGAAGACCATGAGGATGATGCTGCTGCTAGGGTGGCTCAGAACAATTTTTAATACTATTTAAAGACTCGTTCTTTCGTGTGTTCTTGTTCTTCTTGTATTTTGTGCTAAAGCTCCTACTGCAACAGTTTCATCATTCCATTCCAAAAACATTTAAATGAAAGAATGAAAGAGAGAAAAACGTAGGGCAAGTCATGAGTGAGCAATCATAACATTACAGTCTATACTGCGATACTACTACACATACCGTCAAGTGTCGCCTGAACCCACAATCTTTAGACCCTTTGCACTGAATCTGGCTGCTCGCTTCTCCCCATGGCAGTAAAAGTTTCTGCACAATCACATGAGCTGAAATGTATGCTTCTCTTCACTTTTTCTTGAAGCTTATAATCTAAATTTCCATCTGCAGTGGTTAACACTAGAGTATTCGACTGTTTACTGCATGATCGAATACAGAAACACCTGCCAATATCAAAGTAAATCCAACATAATAATAACGGGCTCGTAGGTCACAGGATCTCTTAACCTTTTTCAGTAAACACAACAAATCTCTTCTCAAGAAAGTAGACGAAACAGGAATAGTGCTGTATTCAAGAAAATTCCCAAATTCATAGTATCTTAAAAAAACAAACATGGAGAGACTCAGGAGAACAATCGAAATGCATGAGTCTTGTCGAAGTTTTTTAACGTATTTTTATCCATCTCTACCATTTACGAGAACTAAGATATTCAATCGCAGGCTCAAAGGTCTGGTCCACAGCTTTGTTCCACAGAGCTGCAAATTCCATCCGATATTTTTCCCCAAATATGCCATCTCTCACCTAAGAACAAAGAAAATCCCAAAGTTTAGCTTCGAATTCATGTGCAATCATGAAATAGTCTAAGCTAAACTGTAACCAGAAGTTCATCTGAGAACCCTACAAGTTCAGCTAAAGCGTTAAGAACTTTCAATGTTCTCCAATTTCAAAACTGAATCGCCTAAAGAGGGACCGAGATTCTCATCACTTTGAGGTTAACTTAAGATGCAATCCAGAAATTTTGACAGAAATCAAGGGAAATTGAACGATGTCTAGGGATTTTATGACGCCACGGAAGATAGATTCCAACTCAAAAGGATTAGAAATTGGAGGAAAAATAGGAAATAATAACCTGAGATTGATCAACGGATTGAGATTTCCGATCAGCGACGGATTCATGGATGAGTTTTCGCTGCTCCAAAATGAGGAATCCGGCCAAGGCGCTACCCAGCGTGGCGCCAAGAAGACGCTCCTAAAGTTGAAGAGAAAGAATGTCAAACAACAATTGAGCAAATCAATTCGATTCGAGAAATAAATTAAACACATGCTCTTGAAAAATTATCTGGAAAATTATTAAGATGAAAGAAGAAGAAAACCTGAGCGAGAATGCTGATCATGGTGAAACTTTATCGCGGTTTGATTTGCTGCGAACGGAAAGGGTTTTTTTAGTTCCACCTGAAGAAAAAAAAGAAAGAAGAAGACGACGACGAAGCACGAGACAGAACACACACCTAAAGTGGGCTTAACAATGGGCCTTAGCTCATTACTTTAACATAACAAGCAAACTTTTTTTTTTTCATCTGAAATCCTCTATAGAAACATTTTTTTAAAGAGTAATCTCATTTTATAAATAATTACAGTGGTTCTATTATGCTGATGTGTCAACTCCATATTTATTTTCAGCTAATTTTTTTAAAAAGATTTAGATTACTAAACTAGTTACACGATATATCATTATATATTTTAGATCTATACATATGTTATGTTTCATTTTATAAATCAGAATTTAATTTATTAAGATATTCTCTTTCTTTTATTTCTTACTAAAAATATATCATATTAATTATTTTTTAATTATATTTTCGACCAAAAATCTATTTTTCTCTTATTTTCATTTAAACTTACTTTTGTAAAGTAAATAAATTATCACATCATCCATATAATAAAAAATATATAGATTTTTTGTACATGTATTATAATTTGAATTTGAAAAAATTGAATATAAATTACTCAAATTATTAATAAACAAACACAAATCATTATAATTTGAGTTCACTATAATCATTATAAAAGTTAATTATAATTTGAGTTCATTATAATCATTATAAATAAAAGTAAATATTTATAATTCGATTTAATTGACTCTTTCCAAAAGTAAATTATCAATTAGCTCATAATTTAGACTCTTTCCAAAATTTAGTATACAATAAATAGTATTTAAAATTTAATATAATATAATTATAAGCTAATTGAGAATTTATTAATAATTTTAAAGAAAATGAACTTTATTGTGTTTGATATATGTTAACAATATAAGTAATTTAATTTATAGTACATTCACTAATCTAATTTAGATATAAGTAATATATTAATTCAAATTTATATTGTTAATTTAGATATATATATATATATATATTCAAAGATTTCGAGTAGAAACGATAGTGCTACTTTTGTTTAATAAGTCATCAATGTTTAAAACTTATTTAGAATATAAATAATATAAAATATGGATAAACATTTTGACCCAAAAAAAGATGGATAAACATCAATATTTTTGTAAATGCTAATTATATTAAATTTTATTTGTCACATTATTTTTTATATAATCAATCATAGCAAAGACGCATCAAAACTCTAACCATATTACATCTTAAATTTAGTATTCCGCTTTATTATCTTAATTTGAATTTTAAAAATTTGAATATAAATTACTCAAATTATTAATAAATAAACATAAATCGTTATAATTTGAGTTCATTATAATCATTATAAAAGTAAATTGTAATTTGAGTTCATTATAGTTATTATAAATAAAAATAAATAATAATAATTCGATTTAATTGACTCTTTTCAAAAGAAAATTATCAATTAGCTCATAATTTAGACTCTTTCCAAAGTTTAATATACAATAAATAGTATTTAATATTTAATATAATATAATATAATTATGAGCTACTTGAGAATTTATTAATAATTTTAATGAAAATAAAATTTATTGTGTTTGATATATGTTAATAATATAAGTAATTTAATATATGGTGCATTCACTAATCTAATTTTTAGATATAAGTGATATAATAATTCAAAACTATTTTGTTAATTTAGATATATATATTCAAAGATTTCAAGTAGAAACGATAGTGACACTTTTGTCTAATAAATCATCAATGTTTAAAACTTATTTGGAGTAAAATTAATATATAAGATGGATAAACATCAATATTTTTATAAATGCTAATTATATTAAATTTTATTTGTCACATTATTTTTTATATAATTAATCATAGCAACGACGCATCAAAACTCTAACTATATTACATCTTAAATTTAATATTCCACTTTATTATGTATACACTATTCTCTTAACTTCTTATTTATCATATATTCAATTTATGCTTTATTATTATATTTTAGATAATATTTTTTGACTAAAGGTTTTTTAGAGTCAATAATTATTATTTTATATTACAAAAGATAATTTATGAATATAATTATTATTTTTCAAATTAAAAATATAAAAATTATGTCTTTTTATTTAATTCATTCGATATAGTAGATAAATAACAAACTATTTAAATAATAATATTTAATTATTATTTAAAAGTTAAAAGTAATTAAATATATACATAAATAATAATTATGTCACCCCGCACTTAGTGCAGGTTATTATCTAGTTTATATTAAACCATAAAAACAGTTACATTTGAAGGATACAAGTGAGGGATAGAAAACTTAAAAAACAACCCAAAGAAACAGTAGCTAAAACATAACTCAAAATAGAAAAATCGAAGCAGAATATAACTTTTAAACTCGCAAATCTTCTAATACCTCTGGAGATCTCAAGATCGATAGTATCGAAACTGCTAATGACCCACCAATGAAACTAAACTTCATCAGAACTAGAATCACGGCTTTATAAACTGGCAAATAAGAACTGCAATTTGAAAACTCCCAGAAACAGAATAGACTGGCAAACGATAATCGCATCTTAAAAACTCCCACAAAGGATAGGATTACGAAGTTACATAACACGACTTTATGATTTAATCAACAAAAAAAATATATATATGTGAAAAAAAAAGAGAAGAATGAGATTATTTAGATGCATAAATTACATGCACTAGTGTTTTTTTTCTTTTTTTTTTGATATTTAAAGAAAAGACATGCAGCCAAGTTTGAATGGTGAAGCAGCATAATGCGTTCGACATGGGTAGCAACATCATTAAACAAAATAAAATCTAAGATCTAAAAGAATAAATAATAACACTAAAAATATAAAACCTATTTTGTTAACGGTATAATTTAGCAGAAACATGTATTGATTCATCTTCTTCCACATTCATTCTCTCCCTCCTCTCCTTGGTTCTTTGTAGCTCCCTCCAAACAGATTCCACGATCGGCATTTTTTTCACATTGAATCAAAAGGCTTATAATAAAAACACAATTTACAGAATCGAATCACCATGGCGATGGCGAAAAAGCTCGGTTTCATTGTCATTCTATCAATGTCTCTCCTAATCGTCGAATTCTCTCGCGCTCAGGAGTTGGATTCTCCATCACCGGCTATCTCACCGGGACTTGAGACCCCAGCGGATTCTCCTCTGCCACCGTCTTCTTCACCGGAATCAGATTCCTCTCCATCACCTGTTTCATCATCGGAATCAGATTCATCTCCATCACCGGAATCAGATTCATCCCCATCACCGGTTTCATCACCGGAGTCAGATTCATCTCCATCACCGGTTTCATCACCGGAAACAGATTCCTTTCCACCACCGGTTTCATCACCGGCACCTGAATCCCAAACGGATTCTCCACCACCGCCTCCTCCTGCTCAGCTGAAATCTCCGTCACCATCTCCATCTTCATCTGCGACGTCTCCCGGATCAGCACCTGTTCCTGCTCCGTCCGACGATGCCGACGATGACGATGCCGATACGGAGACAGAGTATTTCCCTTCTCCAACACCATCGCCGGAAGTGGGACAAGCACAGGAAATCAGAGCAAGCGAGGACGGAGAGGAACTCGACGAAGAGATAGGCGAAGATAATGGGATGAGCGGATTGAAGAAAGCAGGGATCGCCATTGGAGCAATACTCGGAGTAGGAGCGATTGTAATCGGAGCTCTTGTTTACAAGAAACGAAAAGATAACTTATCCAGAGCTCGTTACACTTACTTTCACCAAGGAGAATTCCTTTAAGAATTACTTTTTTCATTCTTTTTTTGTCGATTGAATATCAAAAAACGGAAAAACATAAATTATATTAAATCCTTAAACATTGTGTTTAAAAACAAAACGAGAATAGTAGTTGTTGTTGTGTTGTGTTGTTGTTCATCATCTCTGTAAAAACAGAGTATTTGTATGATTATATTATCTTTATTACCTTTGAAGGAGCATTACCATTTCGCAGTGATCAGTGTGAGGGAAAAGGTCAACGGCCATGGCTTTAACAGGTCTAAAAGGCTCAGAAGCAGGCATCTTCTTGGCTCTGAGCCGAGCTGAAGCGGCGGCGCTAAGTCCCCTCTGTCTGTAACCTCTTCTGTTTTCTTGATCGTCTTTCTTGAAAGACGGCGTGCAAAGCTCTATCGCGTTCGCTCCTAGCGTCTCAGGGTTACAAGAAATGTAACTGTAATGTAAGTAAGCAAATGCAAATGTTTATAATCACCAAAATGTGGGAAAAAAAAAACAGAGTTTGCGAGAAAGAGAAGGAAACTAACACGAGCGTCTTTAATCGTGGATGTGTTCTTAGAGCTTTGATTACATCTGGATGAAGTCCAGGACGAGGTGGATCGACTATAGCAACTACGTTCTTGAACCGTGGCTTCGTAGATTTTTCCGGTTCATTGTTAAGAAGTTTGGCTTCTTCTTCCATTTCAGATTCATCTAAGTACTCTGTAAGTAGAGAGCTCATCACATCCTCTGCCTGTTAAAAAAAACGAAGCCAACGAACACTAAGAAGAAGAAACCATAGGATTAAAGATAGAGAAACCAACTTTAGAGTTTGAATACATACCTTTGAGCAGATGAACTTGCAATTGCTTATACCATTGATCTTTGCGTTTCTCTCTGCATCTGATACAGCAGACGCATTCATTTCAATGCCAATCACCTGTTAAGAGCACTGAGAGGTTTAGTACCGAACCCATCAAGAAGGTAAGGATTGTGTTCATAGTTTTCTGCAAGTTTAAAGTAGCAAAGATCATTACCATACCAACACGATGTGCCAGTGTAAGCCCGATTGTTCCGGTTCCACAGCATACATCGAAGAGTAAAGTGTCTGGACCAAGATCAGCCCAATCTCCAGCAAGTGAATATAGCTTCTCTGCGGCTCCGGTATTAACCTGGAATTTCGAAATCTATTAGAATCATCAAACGAACCAAAGACGCATTGATCATGAAAGGTTAAGTTATTACCTGAAAGAATGCTGTTGGGGAGATGCTGAACTTAAGGTTGTTGATATGATCGTGAATACGAGCTTCTTTGGTCAAGACATCGGTGGTTTGGTCCGGGTTTGTTCCATTGTCTGACATCGGAATAGGCAGCAGTCGCAGTGGACAATCCGGTGGTGCAACATTCGATATTCCTACATGATCCTAAAGCAATAAACGCAAATTAAAGATAAAAACTGAATTATAGAGTTTGATTTTTGAGTTTAGTAAAAGAAAGAAAATGAGAAGGAGAAGAAGTTATTACTTGAACAACTAATACAGTCAGAGGAAGAGGTGGAGAGCTTGCTTTAGCTCCTTCAGCAAACGCTTTCGCCATTTCTTCAAACTCAATTGCTACTTCTCCTTCATCAGTATCCTTAGTACAAACCTGAACCATAAGCATAACCTCAGCGATTCTTGTCTCGGCGTCTTCATCGTTTGAAAACACGCCGGGCTTTCTCCCTTCTCGTACCTAAGATGAAAGCAGAAAATCAAATTAGGCAAAGAGTCATGTTAAGAGCTATAAACATAAACAGCGTATCCTGCAACGCAGCTTACAGTTAACTGTCGCCAGAAACCGCAGCTTTTAAACTTATTCCAAACAGGGAGCTTTGATTTCTCTAAGAAAGTTTGAAAGATTGAAGCGTATCTGCAAGCCATTTTAGAGATATTGGGACAATCCACAGCTTCCTCTACTGCTGTCACACCCGCACTAAGAAAAAAAAAATTTGCATTAGTTTTTTCCTCCATGACACACAAGTTTCAGAGGAAGAAAGTATTTGTAAATACCTAAAGTTTCCAAGCATGAATCCAACAGTTAGCTTCCCTTCAACGGAATATCCAGCAGAGAACTCACACTTGTTCCTATAACCATTTGCAAACGGTGATTCTATAATACCCTCGAGCTTACATGCAAGACCACCTGCATGATTTGATGTGTGAATCAACAGACTTTCTCGGTGAGAGTGTAATCCTAAGAAATTGAACAATGTATAGTTTTCTTACCTATTTCTCTAGACTGAAGGATCCATTCGGGAAGTGATTTCCCATTTTGACAAGCTTTACGAGCATTCCTAGTCTGCCAAGAAAACACAGTCCCAAACAAAATCAGTATAATTGAAGCTGAAGCTACAAAAGAACAGCAAATTGTAAAATAGAAAAGAAAAAACATGAGGAAGCTCCTGACAAGTTTTTTCAGCATTTGCATGATAGAAGCCTTCTTCTGTTCAAGCTGCTCTGCGTAAGACAAATCTGCCAAGGGAGTCACAGCTTCACGGGCGCTTTTGATCTTAGCCTGATTCTTCGTTCCGTTCTTGTCGACTGTACGGGGAAGTACATCAGCGATCTTCAAATTCTTGTTCCCAACAGCTTTTCCTTCCAAAATCTGCAAAAAAATATTCAACACACTATCAAACAACAAATCGATAAAATTTGACAAAAGGAAGGTAACAAAAAACTAAGTAAAGCAAACCTCCACGCCGTTTTGCAATTGTTCTGCATTCTCAAATGTGAGAAAACCAACAATCATTCCTCTTCTTTTCTTCGCAAACTTGAATTCAACTCCCTGTTAAAATAATGAATCAGTAACTCAATCTCTCTGCTTTGATCATCTAATGAACCATTCAAACAACACTAACATGATACTAGTAAGTAAACCATAAGAGCTAAGTATCATTCTTTACTCTAAAGACTAAATCAATGGTTTTTCGCAAACTTGAATTCAACTCCCTGTATATCTGCTTTAATCATCTAAAGATCTATGCAGTTACACTAACATGAATGAATCAGTAACTCAATCTCTCTGCTTTGATCATCTAAAGAGCTATTCAAACAGCACTAACATGAATACTAGAAAGTAAACCAAAATAGCTAAGTATCATTGTTTTGTTTACTCTAAAGACTAAATCATTGTATATCTGCTTTAATCATCTAAAGATCTATTCAAGCTACACTAACATGAATCCTAGAAAGTAAACCCGAGAGCAAAGTATCATTCTTCACTCTTAAACGACTAAATCAAGGGCTGTTCTGTTTTCAGATCTTAAAAACGTTTAAAGACTTAAAATTTACCTGCTCTCTAACAAACTTCTTCAGCTCATCTGCTTGCCATTTAATGGGTAAATGAACCAAACATTTGCTTAGCGAAAGATCATGAACACCATCTCCACATCCTTCGCCGTCGTTGTCGTCCATCATCTCCTCCGTGAACAAAACCTCGCCGTTTTCTTCTTCCTCCGCGGGTTTCTCCAATATCTTCGCCTTCTTTCCGCGCACGGAGGTCGGGTCCCACGTGTTGTCCGGCTTCATACGGAGCTCCTCCTCGCCGTGAGCGTATCTGCATGTGTTTCCATGGCTGCAGGAGCCCTCGCGCCTGAAATAGGAGCAGAGACTCGTCTTGAACCACGGTGAAGGAGTAGGATTCGGGTCCGACGATTCGGGATTGGTCTTCTCGTCGTCGTCGTCGCGCTTCCGTTTCTCCCCGACGGCTTCAACGTCGTCGGACGACGGGGTGATATCGGCCGGAATCTGGGATTTTACGGTATCGACGGCGGAAGGAAGCTCGTCAATTGATGCTGTCTCCATTGGAACATCATCGTTGGGATTTGAATCGGACGATGGGATTGGGTTGACGGGAGCGGCGGTATTATCGGAGGGATGTTGGGATGTTAGGGTTTCGACGGCGGAAGGAAGCTCGTCGATTGGTGATGACGCCATTGTAACGTCATCAGTGGGATTTGGATCGGACGGTGGAGTGACATCGGCCGAAATCTGGGATGTTAGGGTTTCGGCGGCGGAAGGAAGCTCGTCGATTGATGAAGACGCCATTAAGAGTTTTTTTTTACTGGAAGTGGCGAAGTTTCAGATTCAGACCTTAAACCCTACCGGATTACATCATTTTTGAATTTTGACATTGTTTGTTTTGTCCAATATTCTGATTATTTTGATATTTTAAAATATTTATTAAAAAAAAACAAGTTGGGAAATATAATTTCTGAAACTTGTAATTTTTGTTACCCGTTTATTTCACATTTAAGATGAATTTGTGTCATGTTTTAAGAAATTAACATGCTATTTTATTTAATACGAATATGAAATATATGGAGTGTATTGAAATTAAAATTTTAGAAAAAATAAAAATATTTAAGATTTAATAAAATTTAGATGATATTATGTAAATTGGAGGAATTAATATGATTTGATATTAAAATTATATGAAATTCTATCTAAAATAATGAGATTTGTTTTTTATATTTTTAACCAACAAACTTCATAAAATCATTCAAAAGTATTCAATATTTTTAAAAATCTACTATTTAAAATATTTCCAATAACAGTAGATTTGATTTAGTTTTTATAAATTGTTGATTGAATAACATGAATTTTTAAATAACTTAAGTTAGTTTTACATAAATTTTATATTCAATAACATTAATTTTGGTAAAATATTTAAAAATCACTAATTTAATAACATGAATTTTTAAAACAACTATGTAAAATATTTGAAATTTCTAATCCAATACACCTTTCTGTTTGGTTTTGTATACATGGCAATGATAAAGAATAACAAACTAAAAACAAATCAAACATCAAATAATATGGTTCCATCTCTTATAGCAACGAAAAGAGCAGAATAATTCTCTCTTTACCTTTCGATTTCTAATTTTATGAACAGGCCTATGAAAATGTACCCATCCTGCTTCTCATAATGAATAAAAACTCTATAAGTATTTTATACGGACAACGTTTCCCACATTCTCTATATTTAGGTCGAGTTGAATAAGTGTTGGGAAGAACATTGACCGTTTGTGCAGAAATTGAACCTTCCTTGGATGTGAAACTTTGTCCAGATTTCAAATACGGATCTTTGCCTAACAAACAGTCCACGTGAACTGTGATTTCACACTCATTGCATGCATATAACCCAGTTTTTATTTTTATTTTTCTTTCGCATATGTCACACCAATATCGCTGATCATGATGATCATTTGCATTTTCTTCGTAAGAAAAAGTTAACAAATGCTCATCATGTACGTACCTCGCCTTATGTGGAAGAGTGGCGCAATGAAAACACGAAACGAAGTCTATTAGAATGTATACCGGTTTATACTAGTTTAGTTGTTATGGTTTAAGTTTCCATTAGCTTAACCATGCTGTATATACGTGGATATTGTTCTCTTTTTCTTGATTAATGAGAATAACAAAATATCGTTTAATATAGTATCAGAGCTAAACTTGATCATCCTCTCGTGAGCTTTTGGATCTTCTATTCATGGCGATTCTAGTTCGCGATTTTCGATTATTCTCTCAATTCGTTGTGTTTATGCTTTTATCTGGAGCTTGAACTCATCAATTTCATCTCCAATTTTCTGTTTCTTCTACTTGATTGACCTCTGATTGTTGCCGTTCTTTTTTGATTTTCTTTCCGGCTTCGATCTTCTGTATTTTGCTTCGTTTAATCGTCTTCTGCTTCCTCGCGTGATCTTCCGTGAGCTGCGAATCTCTAATGGCGATGCCTGAACCTCACGAATCGACGTTTCTGGATCAATATGAGAATCCCTACTTTCTTCACAGCTCCGATCATGCCGGCTTGATTCTTGTCTCCGATCGCCTCAATTCCGGCGCCGAATTCCACACTTGGCGTCGCTCTGTGCGCATGTTGTTGAACGTCCGGAACAAGCTTGGCTTTATTGACGGTACGATCCCTAAACCACCACCTACTCATTGCGATTCAGGTTTGTGGTCTCGTTGTGATGATATGGTTGCTACATGGCTCATGAACTCTGTTTCCAAGAAGATTGCTCAGAGTTTGTTATTTTTATCTTCTGCTGAGATGATTTGGAAGAGTTTGCTATCTCGTTTTAAGCAAGATGATGCTCCTAGGGTGTTTGAGATAGAACAACGCCTTAGCAATATCCAGCAAGGATCTTTAGATGTCTGTGCATCCTATACTGCTCTGTTGACTCTTTGGGAAGAACACAAAACTTTGTTGAGCTCCCGGTTTGTACTTGTGGACGCTGTGAGTGTAATGCTGCAGCTCTTTGGGAATCTTTACAACAACGGAGCCGTGTCACCAAGTTTCTGATGGGCTTGAATGATTCGTATGAGTCTACTAGGCGACACATTCTAATGTTGAAGCCGATTCCTTCCATCGAAGATGTTTTCAACATGGTTACTCAAGATGAGAGACAGAAGACCATTAAGCCGAGTCCCAAGTTAGAGAACGTCGTGTTTCAGAACTCTGGACCCTCTGAGATGGATCCTTCCTATGATGACCAGTTCGAGAACTCTGCATTTGCTACTCAGCATCAGAACAACTATCGTCCTAAACAGCGTCCTCCATGCACTTATTGTGGTCAGCTTGGACACATTGTCCAGAAATGTTTCAAACTCCATGGATATCCTCCAAGACACAAGTTTCACAACTCCAATACGGCTTCTGGTCAACAGCTGAATTCCTCTCAGACTGGTTTCACTCCTCGTGGTCAGCAGAATACTCCGCGAAATCAGTTTTCCTCTCAGTATACTTCACAGCATCAATATCAACCTTCACCTGCTCCTCGGTCTAACGCTGTTGCTGCGAATGTTATGACTGCTCCATCTCAGCTTTACATGCCTCCGCCTGCCACTGCTGGTGTGAATATTGATTTCAGTCAGATGAACTCAGCTCAAGTTCAAACCCTGATTCAACAGCTTCAAAGTCATGTACGCCCTCCAGAGCCTGTGGTTCCTCCTCAGTGTGCTACGGTTACGGAAAATGGTTACATGGCTGCTCAATCCTCCTCTGGTATTATTCCTTTTCCCTCATCCAATCTCACTTTTGAAAATATTTGTCTTACCTTCCAACATCAATGTCTTTCCACCCTTTACAACTCTCTTCCTAATGGTGCTTGGATAATTGACAGCGGGGCTACCACACACATTTGTTCTATATTTTGTTATTCTCATTAATCAAGAAAAGGAGAACAATATCCACATATATACAGCATGGTTAAGCTAACGGAAACTTAAACCATAACAACTATACCAGTATAAACCGGTATACATTCTAATATACCCCCCTCAAGCCTCTGAAGTGGAACCATCAAGTGGAAGGAAGAGGCTTGAAACTGACATACGATCAAGCAAAGAATAGAAGGGACCCGGATGCAGTGCCTTGGTGAGAATATCAGCGTGTTGATTCGAACTGGAGACATGCATCAAAGTGAGAAAGCCATTCTTAACCTGATCATGAACAGTATGATAGTCAATCTCCACATGTTTGGTGCGCTCATGGAAGACCGGGTTGGTAGCAATGTGCATTGCAGACTTGTTGTCACAGAAGAGTTTGGCATTCGTATGAACCGTGATCTTCAAGTCCCGTAGAAGCTGTTGTAGCCAGAGGTAACTCACAAGTAGCATGAGGCATGCTTCTATATTCAGCTTCAGTACTACTGCGACTAACAACAGCTTGTTTCTTGGATTTCCAAGTCACCAGAGACTTCCCAAGGTAGACACAGTATCCCGTAATGGATCACCGTAAATCAGGACATGCCGCTCAATCTGCATCCGAGAAGGCATTGAGGCAAAGATCAGAGGATGCAGAATAAAATAGACCTTGACCAGGGTTGCCTTTGGTGTACTTCAAGACTTTATGAGCAGCAGTGAGATGAACATCGGTCGGAGAAGACAAAAACTGGCTAAGGCAATGGACGGCAAATGTTATATCCGGACGTGTGATCGTCAAGTAGAGGAGACGACCAATCAGCGCGCGATACGGAGTTGGATCAGGAAGAAAAGTTCCAGTATCCTTTCGCAGCTTGACAAGCGGGTCCATAGGTATTGTGCTCGATTTACAGGCTAATAAGCCAGTATCAGTGAGTAAGTTCAGAGCATATTTACGCTGACAAACCGAGATACCCGTAGATGTTCGAGCAATCTCCAAACCCCAAAAGAAGCGAAGAGGACTCAAGTCTTTGATCTTGAAAGTGGAGCTCAGAAGCGATTTGAGAGATTGAACATCATCATCATTGTTGCTAGCAATCATAATGTCATCGACATATATCAAGATTGCAGTAAACTTCTCCCCATTTCGCTTGACAAAAAGAGTATTGTCAGCAGGCGATTGAGCATAACCAGCTTGGAGAAGAACCGAAGACAAATAGTGGTACCATTGCCTAGAGGCTTGTTTCAAGCCATATAAGGACTTACGCAAGCGACACACAAGATTAGGAGGAAGAGTGGTACCCGGAGGAGGTGTGTAACCCTGAGGGAGACTCATGTAGATCTCTTCATCCAGCTCACTGTGTAGAAAGGCATTGGAGACATCCATTTGAGAAAGGCTCCATCCCTGGATAGCAGCAAGAGCAAGAAGGAGTTTCACACTCGCAAGCTTAGCAACAGGTGAGAAAGTATCTGTGAAGTCAACGCCTTTCTATTGAGTGAAGCCCTTGGCGACCAGGCGAGCCTTGTAACGCTCAATAGTCCCATCAGCCTTATACTTGATAGTATACACCCATTTATAGCCCACAACGTTCTTTCCAGGAGGGAGAGTTTCAATAGTCCAAGTATGAGTAACCTCCATAGCCTGTAGTTCCTCACCCATGGCTTGAGTAAATTCGGGAGATAACATGACTTGCTGGAAAGAAGTAGGTTCGGTTTCAAGAGAGTAGGAAAGGATGTAGTGTTGGTAAAGGGGTTTTAGGTGAGAGTAAGAGAGGGAGGAGGTAATGGGATATATAGGAGGTGGTGAGGGAGAGGAAACAGCGGGAACAGTATGAATTAAAGAGCAATGGTAATCAGATAAGTAACTGGAGGTTTTACCATCACGTCGCGGCCTATCATTGATTAGTCTAGACTGACCTGTGACACTGGGAATAACTGCTTTACATCTGGCATTAGGGAGAGGAGGGTTCGAGGTGGATGGATGAGATGAAGATGCATGAGATGTAGATGCATGAGATGCAGATGCATGAGTTGTGACAGCAGGTGGCGACAATGCAGATGCAAGGTATGAGTGTAAAGCAGTTATATCAGGAGTAACAGGTGTGAGCAAAGAATCAAGACAAGCCGGGACTGGTAATGGCAAAATAGATGCAGGAAACAGATCAATAGTGGATGAAGCAGATGGAAACAAAGTAAATGGGAAGACATCTTCATGAAAAATAACATTGCGAGTGATGGAAACAACACGAGTTTCTAAATTCAAGATTTTATATCCTTTGTAACCAGAGGGATAACCTAAGAAGACACAGGGTTCAGCTCTTGGGGTAAACTTATTCCTATCCTTATTCAACGTGGAAACATAACAAAGACACCCAAAAGAGCGAAGGAAACTATAATCAGGTATCTTCTTAGCTAACAATTCATACGGGGAACTTTTATTTAGCAGAATAGATGGAGTGCGATTAATAAGAAACACAGCAGTATAGATGCAATCGCTCCAATAGACAAGCGGAACATTAGATTGAAAAAGCAATGCACGAGCAACATTTAAGATATGCTGATGCTTACGCTCGACAACAGAGTTTTGTTGGGGAGTGTAAGCACATGAAAACTGATGTCTCATCTTGAGTAACCATGTTGAAAACATCTTCGATGGAAGGAATCAGCTTCAACATTAGAATGTGTCGCCTAGTAGACTCATACGAATCATTCAAGCTCATCAGAAACTTGGTGACACGGCTCCGTTATTGTAAAGATTCCCAAAGAGCTGCAGCATTACACTCACAGCGTCTACAAGTACAAACCGGGAGCTCAACAAAGTTTTTGTGTTCTTCCCAAAGAGTCAACAGAGCAGTATAGTATGCACATACATCTAAAGATCCTTGCTGGATATTGCTAAGGCGTTTTTCTATCTCAAACACCCTAGGAGCATCATCTTGCTTAAAACGAGATAGCAAACTCTTCCAAATCATCTCAGCAGAAGGTAAAAACAACAGACTCTGAGCAATCTTCTTGGAAACAGAGTTCATGAGCCATGTTGCAACCATATCATCACAACGAGACCACGAACCTGAATCGCTATGAGTAGGTGGTGGTTTAGGGATCGCACCGTCAATAAAGCCAAGCTTGTTCCGGACGTTCAACGCCATGCGCACAGAGCGACGCCAAGTGTGAAATTCGGCGCCGGAATTGAGGCGATCGGAGACAAGAATCAAGCCGGCATGATCAGAGCTGTGAAGAAAGTAGGGATTCTCATATTGATCTAGAAACGTCGATTCGCGAGGTTCAGGCATCGCCATTAGAGATTCGCAGCTCACGGAAGATCACGCGAGGAAGCAGAAGACGATTGAACGAAGCAAAACACAGAAGATCGAAGCCGGAAAGGAAATAAAAAAAGAACGGCAACAATCGGAAGTCTAACGAAGGAAAGTAGAAGAAACAGAAAATTGGAGATGAAATTGATGAGTTCAAACTCCAGAAAAAGCAGAAACACAACGAATTGAGAGAATAATCGAAGATCGCGAACTGGAATCGCTATGAACGGAAGATCCAGAAGCTCACGAGAGGATGATCGAGTTTAGCTCTGATACCATATTTTGTTATTCTCATTAATCAAGAAAAGGAGAACAATATCCACATATATACAACATGGTTAAGCTAATGGAAACTTAAACCATAACAACTAAACCAGTATAAACCGGTATACATTCTAATAAAGTAGCACGTGACACAATATAAAGGTTGTGTTGACTTCATACGACAAATGGAACAATTATTCTTCGCTTCTCATTCACTTATGAACAATGGATGTGGATGAGAGTGATAATCGAACGGTTCACTTATAGAAGCACAAAATATGTCTAGCTCCAAACGAGAAACTTCGAGAGGACACACATATGCGAAACCACATGAGTAACGATAGCATCTCTTACATTCGAACCAACGTGTTGTGTAATCGAGACTTAGAAACAATCGATGAACATTTAGCATAGATTGTTTCACACGAGGCATATACGCACATGATTCATGTAAAATGATGAAATCGCATTTCATACATCGATACACATTGCCATCATCATAAAAAAGACGTATGCATGCTTGACAATTGTTGGTATCGTCGTGAAAATTTTCTTCAAGCCTCATTAGATGAATAAGATGACTCAGATGTTGTATAATCCCATCGCCTTTCTCTTCATACATTTTAGTATTTTTATATGTCTCTTCTTCAGGCTCTCCTTCAAGTTCTTTCCCGTCACACACACCACTTTGCATGGCACATCTAGAATGCATTGCGTAAACACATCCTTTCATCCTGCATGAGTATTCTCCGTAATTTTCATATATCTTTGTGTGACAAACTCCACAATTAGTTGTCCACTCCTTGTATGGAAGTTTAGGAGTAAAAGCGAGACGATGATCGTGACAAGATACCTTTATGACATATGGTAGGTCGGTACAACGCTTATGGACAATGAAATCGCATAGAAGACATACGTATAAGTATTCGGAACCGCCCTCCAACGCACAAACATCGCAAACCAAAGTGGATTGCCTTGGAAAGTAATGTAAGGTATGCTCATGCTTTTTTTTATTGTCTATATAGTAAGGGATGTTGACTTTATCGCACATACAGAATGGATCATAAAATCGCAAATAGAACAGTAGTAAAATAGCTTGCCACTGTAACGTCCACAAGAGCGACATTGTCTTTTATGTTTAAAGGGAGACCAGAGAAGCTGAAGAGGATGTTTTGGATGATCAGAGGAATGGAACACAGAAGGAGACTCAATACATTCTTTGTGGTAGATTTCACGGTAGCTGCCGCAGAGGAAATAGGTTTCATCTTTAAGCGCGTTGAGACAACACCAACACCATGAATCACATTTTTTCACCTATTTCTTTGTCACGACGAACCATATAGTGATAGGTATTAGAGACACAAGCCCAAAAATTCAGGCCCATGATATTTATGAGAAGAGCCCATATAGTTAGGTTTTCACTAAGTTTAGATTCATATATATATGTTGTTTTATGCATCAATGTAAACAACTTTGGAGTTGCCGATTGTGCAACTCTCTTCTTCTAATATTATGAAATCAACCTAAATCTAATTGTGTTCTTATTTACAAATCTAAAGCTTTCTCTTTTATTTTATTTTCTTGCACAATAAAGTTCCTCATGAGCTATTTATTTCTGCAATCTTAGATTTCTAGTTAAATAAACTCATTTGAGCACAAATCTATCTTTCTTTGAATTTGCCAACATGGTATCAAAGCTTCAGTCGGTTCAGTGGGTTTTCTTCACTCTTCCATATTTTTGATTTTTTAATGGTTAGGGAAATGAAAATGAGTGAAATTTCAGTTGTTGTGGGAACATTTCTCCTTTGTCATGAAATATTTCTTAGTTTTAGTTGACTTAAGGGTAAGGAAAACCCTAACTCTTTGTGAGACACAAAGGTCACAAGAGAGAAGACTATGCTAAACTCTCTAAGTCAAAAGAACCTCTGAGTGAGTCATGCAAGCTCTCCAAGTCTAGACCCAATGATTTCACACTGATTTTCTATGGTGAATGGAGCAATCTGCCTGCACCTCCATGAGATTCTTCCTCAACTATTCAAGCTGTTTTCAAGCCAAGCCAAACCTCTTTCTACGAAGCTGTGAAGTTATGAAGAATGAGTTCAAACTTAGTCTCTTGGTTTCACCCGACACTAAGTTTGCAGGGGAGTATTAGAGACACAAGCCCAACAATTCAGGTCCATGATATTTATGAGAAGAGTCCATATAATTAGGGTTTTCACTAAGTTTAGATTCATATATATATATATATGTTGTTTTATGCATCAATGTAAACAACTATGGAGTTTCCGATTGTACAACTCTCTTCTTCTAATATTATGAAATCAACCTAAATCTATTTGTGTTCTTAGTGACAAATCTAAAGCTTTCTCTTTTCTTTTACTTTTTTGCAAAAAAAATTCCTCATGAGCTATTTATTTCTTCAATCTTAGATTTCTAGTTATATAAGCTCATTTGAGCACAAATCTATCTTTCTTTGAGTTTGCCAACAATGGGCAGGATAATGTTCTTCTTTGTCAGCATCAGACATGAAATAGGAACTGTTGCAGATGATATAATTATGGCCATTAATCGTTATCTCTTTGCCATTTTCATCTTTTTGGAATCATTTTCTCGAGCATAAGATATGATTGGAAGGTGTTTCACCAAGAGTATCCATGGGTTATCTTTTGTTTCGGTAAATAGAATTAATAATTTTTAGTTGTGACGACTATTGGCTATAAACTATATATATGTGTATATATATTGTCATTTATGTTAACAAAGACAAACGTATTACGCCAAGTATTTAAATTTTTATTCATTTCAAACTTTTACAGCAAAGCAAGAATACGATCCTTTTTGGTGTGGTTTATTTTTTTGGTCAAAGGGTTTAAATTAAAATTGAAAGAGGTCTACAAGAGGTCGAATGGGCTTAAACAAGACAAAGCATTTTTAGCAAGCTCATCTGCATAACAGTTTGCAGAGCGGATGATGAAATGAAAGGAAATGGAAGAAAAGAGAGGAACAAGGCATCAAACATCAGTGAGGATGCCTGCTATCTCTGTTAAATCCGACCCTGCTAGGAGGGTGTTGATGAGGACTTCCGAGTCCGAAAAAGGTGGATCTCTCTGATTTCCTCCAAGATGGCCAGAGCTTCAGCCACTAGAGCCGAGGAGATGAAACGTCTGGCACAGGAGTTTTCAAGGATCTTGGTGCCATCCGGGTCCGTGATGATCCATCCCATCCCTCCCGATTTCATTCCTGCTAGCCATGCACCATCAGTGTAGCAGATCGACACCGTAGGGGGAGGAGGGGGTCTTGGTGGCTTCAGGGGCTTTGACGGGGATTGACTCGAGGTTTGATTGGTTGAATGCCAAAGCGAGGCTTCCGAAGAAGCCTTTGCTACCAGCTCAGAAGCTGAGAGGCTCGTCCCTTTGAATATACGTTTGTTTCTGGCCGTCCAGAGGTTCCAAAGGATCCAGGGGAAGAGTGGAGTTTCAGCTAATCCTGAGGATGAGAGATTTTTAGTGTTGTAAAGGGACCGCAAGAGGCTTCTGGAGTCTGTGTCGGATGAGAGCGTTGTTGGATTTGGAGTTAAGGGGGATAAGGGCCATACTGCCTGAGCAAAGGGGCAATCAAACCATATATGGGATATTGATTCTTGGTGGTCGCATCTTGTGCAGCCTGAGTTGGCATCAATGCCTCGCCAGAGAAGATCCGCTCCCACTGGAAGTGCGCCATTTGTTGCTATCTTTAGATGGTGCTTGATTTTTTGCGATGTGTGGAGATTCCAGATGTACTGGTACCAGCTAAACTCTGTGTCGCCAATTTGATTGTAGCATTTTTGCATATTATAGCCTGTTTTTGTTGAGAAGAGTCCTGATTTTTCAGGTAGCTAAACGAGAGAGTCTGGTGGTTTGGTTGAGCTTGGGATGATGAGCTTGATTGTATCCTCATAATGAGGTAAGTGTGTCAGAATCTTCTCTATGTCCCAAGCATTAGAATCCTGGTGCAAGAGGTCTTTGACAGTTAACATAGCATTGCTTTGTATAGGTGGGCCGACAGGTGCTTGGGGGACCGTAGTCGAAAGCCAAGGTTCTGTCCAGATATTGATGTCGTGGCCATTACCTACTAGCCATCCTAAGCCTTTGCGAAGCACCTTCCTTCCTTCAAGGACTCCTTGCCAGCCATGGGAGGCTCCATAGGGGTAGTCGACTTCTATGAAGCCTTTGTCTTGGCAGTATTTACCGAGGAGGACCTTTGCAAGTAAGCTGTCTGGATTCTTTAGATTTTTTTCAGCTTTGTATTGCGAGGAGAGCTGAGTTGAATTCAGCTATCTCTCTGAAGCCTAAACCTCCCGCTCTTTTTGGTTGTGACAGACGTGACCAAGCACCCCAAGAAATTTTTTGCTTGTCTGGAGAGGAGTCCCAGAAGAATCTCGTCAGGATAGACTGTATCTTCTTGCAGAGAGATTTGGGAAGAAGGAAGCATGACATTGTGTAAGTAGGGAGAGCCGAGAGGACAGCTTGGAGGAGTACTTGTTTTCCAGCTCCCGAGAGGAATTTGGAGGACCAGCTATGAGCCCGTTGATGCACTCGGTCTATCAAGCCAGTGAACATGTCTTTTTTCCTTCTACCAAAGTTTTCAGATAAGCCTAGATATTTCCCCGATCCCCCTTCTTTTGTTTTTCCGATAGTGTTTTTTACTCTTTCTTTAATTCCTGGAGGAGTTTTGGAGGAGAAGGTGATGGAGGATTTGTCTAGGTTGATGCGCTGACCTGAGAGTTGCTTATACTTTTTCAGGATTTGGATGAGCTCTTGGCAACAAATATCATTTGTTCTGCAGAAGAAAAAGGGTGTCATCTGCAAAGAGAAGGTGGTTGATGAAGGGGCTATGCCGAGCAACTTGAATCCCTTTGAGTCTTCCTGTTTCCTAGGCCTTTCGACAGAAAGCCGAGAGCATGCAGAGGATAAAGAGAAAGGGGGACAGCGGGTCTCCTTGTCTGAGTCCTCGGGTTGGGAGAATTTTTCCATTGGTTGAGCCATTGATTAGGAACATGTGGTTCACTGAGGTAACACATGTCATTATCCAGTTCACATAGGTCTGATGAAACCCGAAGCTCTGAAGAACCTCGCGAAGGAATCCCCATTCTATACGGTCGTAAGCTTTGCTCATATCCATTTTTACCACCATGGAACATATTTTTGTAGCATTTGATGTTTTTAAGAAATGCAGAGTCTCGTGGGTGATTAAGACATTATCAGTGATGGCTCTTCCTGGCACGAAGGCTGATTGGTGCTCCGAGATCAGAGTGTGAAGGATTGGTTGGAGGCGGCTCGTGAGAATCTTCGCTATGATTTTATAGCGGATGTTGCATAAAGCTACCGGTCTATACTCTGAGGGTGTTTTAGCCTCCGAGGTCTTGGGAAGGAGACATACATGCATATCATTGAGGTTTATTTCCATTACACCAGTGGAGAAGAACCTCTTTATCTCTTTACTAATATCTTCACCAATGATGTTCCAGAAGGAGTGGTAGAAGCCGGCAGAGAACCCATCTGGCCCTGGGGTTTTGTCAGCGTGTATGGCAAAAGTTGCCTCTCGTATTTCCTCATTAGAAGGTAAAGTTACTAGGAGTTCTTTCATTTCAGTGGCGATCTTTGCTTGGATAGCTTCTGATACATCTTTGAATTCAGATGAGCCATTGGAGGTGAAGATCTCTTGGAAAAAGGAAGAGAAGACTCGGGTGATTTGGTCCTCTTCAAACACTGCCTTTCTCTAGTTATCCTCGATGACCGTAAGTCGGTTAGAAGATCTTCTCCCCTTAGTGATTGCGTGAAAGTAGGCCGAATTCTTGTCTCCTCCTTGTAGCCATTGGACTCTACTCCTTTGTCTCCAGAATAACTCTTCTGCTTTGTAGGTTTTGTATAGCTCCGTGGTGAGTTCTCCAATGAGGGTAGTGTCAGGTACTGCAGCTGAGAGGGCGGATTCTAGGGACTCTTGTAAGTTTAACATTGTTTCCTTGCTGCTTATGTTCTTGTCTTCGGACCATTTTATTAATTCTCTTCTACAGCGGTTGATTTTTGTTGCAACTTTTTCAGGTATTGCTGGGTTCCAAGCTTTATCCACTACTTTCCTCACCCCTTA